TATTTATCTATCTATCTAATCTATCTAATATATCTATCTATCTATCTATCTAATAATCATCTATCTCTCACACACACACGCACACACACATAATCATAATCCCAAACATCCACTTTCTCTCTATCCGATTAGTAAGCTGTGTTTCCTATGATTTTATTAAATGATGTCAACTAATTTTCCTACGATCACTTCGTTCCTGGTAGCCATGATAAAATCATAATATAAGTATTTATAAGAAGTCATTAAGTTAGAACTGAGTTGGGTGCACCTTTTGACCGGCTGCTGGTCCGGGTATTAGAATTCAGACATTCTCTTTAGAAAAGGAAAAATGTTTTCCACCCAATGGGGAAAATAAAAACTGGTTGTATAGAACTAGAACAAGTAGACTTTACGAATGTATAGAAGAAGCAGAGATCATGAATGTATAGAACAAGTAGAGAGTATGAATGAATAGAACAAGCAGAGCTCACGAGTGTGCGGTATAGATCAAGTAGAGATCATGAATGCATAGAAATAGAACTAAGTAGAGATCATGAATGCATAGAACTAGAACTAAGTAGAGATCATGAATGCATAGAACTAGAACTAAGTAGAGATCATGAATGCATAGAACTAGAACTAAGTAGAGATCATGAATGCATAGAACTAGAACTAAGTAGAGATCATGAATGCATAGAACTAGAACAAGTAGAGATCACGAATGTAACAAAGTTAATGGCATGAAACTAGCCCTAACCCATTATCGTAACAAAAATCGACCATGGCGTGGAGTTGTGCTACATGCATGAATGCTGCTGGTCGCTGGTACTGGCTGGTGGAAGTGGTCATTTTTCTGGTACAAATATATCCATATAATTTGAATAAATATTTATATCGTCATCATGGAGATAAATCCTTACCCACCCTCCCGTTCCACTTACTGCACTTATTACGTTAAGCATGGGTGTTAAATGACGTGATGATTATTGAATTCTATGACACTGTCATTGACAGGCCTTTTGAAGTGATCCAACAAAAAACAAAAATGGTAACAACCTGTTCAGCTTCATTGTCTGGGATCGGTTGTTTTCCGGGTGAGCAACAGTCGGCATTACTGGTTAGCCAGGCCGGTACCCGACTCAGCTCTAAATTAAATACTGAACAGTTCAAGTTCCCGCTATTTATATGTCTTTACTAATCAGTAGCACTCTATATTATCAATTCACGTCACTCTGACAAATGGAATACACATGACACTGACAGTGTCTTCTCTCCCTGAGATTGAGATCAAAGCGAAAAGGCATAGTAATATAATTATAGTATTCGGTAATATATTGGTTCTTCTCCCTGAGGTCATAAAGTCGCAAGAAGCGTGTAGGCTATAGGTATGAATCAAAGATAAACTACCCTGACATCAGATACTATGAGGAATTAGTATCATGTGTATAAATATTGTCTCTGATTTGGTCCACGTGGGCAGCCAGCCTCCTGACGGCATTCTTGTGAGCTTCGCTCTCGCGCTTAATTATTACGTCATTCATCACGTCCTCCTGGTTCGGTTGGCTCATATTGGAACCTCGACCTTGTCCATTTTGACCGGACATACTAACGGCATTTGCCTGTGGGTGGGCACTGAACTCGCGGCCGTAGTGTTCATGGCCTCGGTGCATATGTCCCAGGGAATATGACATGCCTGAGACGTCTTCTAGAAAGCCAGACGCCATGGACTGGTTTGAGGCGGGGAAAGAGCTGGTCGCTTGCCCTGTGGACTTCTCGGATGCAGGGGTTCGCGGGGCTTGTCTCTGCTCCTCCTGCCTTTTCCGATTGATGCTCAAGTCTGCCGGGGTTCCCACGTGACTTTCGTCGTAAACCATTCGTCCCGGTTGCATGTAGAGGTCATAGGGTGTGCTGTACCCAGCCATAGCTCCGTGCATGTACCGTTGATAGGCAGAAGCATGCTTGTTTTCTTGAAACGAATTCGAATTTGGGGCGGGTTTGGCTTGGTTATTGACAGGTGCCGTGAAAACCTGGGACGGGCCGACCCCTGGATAGGATTGAAATCCAGAAGTAGCGGGGGCCCAGCTCGGTGATGGGTTAAACGGCCCGTAAGCTGCTGGCCCATAAGGAGACTCTATGGTGTAGCTCGCGTCCTTTATCTTGGGACTACTGCTTGAGGCTTCTGTATTTATTCTCCTGTCTCCTTCCGAGTTTTCCATAGACGTGTTCAGGCCTATCGGATACACTGATGGCGATGTGGATGACACGTCATCGGCGCTTCCAGAACTTTCTTTGCGTCGTCTGGCCTCACTGGCCTCTTGTGCAGCCTTGACCTCCAGCATACATTGCGCTCGCTCGCCTGGCGTCAGCAAGCTTTGGTCAGGCGGAATGCCATACCTTGTCTTGATTATCATTATTTCCTTGCGCAGAAGAGCGTTTTGCTCCTCCAGATACATAACCTTGAAAAAAGATGACCAAAAAAAGTTTGAAATAATAATATGGAATAACAATAGTTTTGAAAAATACACCATGTTAAAATAATTTGCCGAATTCAACTTCAACCAACGGCAAACAAAAGGGACTCGTGGTATTAAGTTTGCCTGGTCCAAACTTACTTTTGGTGAAAGAAAACCCATTCAAATTATTATCGCATTTATTCGTATGTGGGTCATTATTATCTTTTTAATTAACAAAAATGTGTATGGCTTTATGAGCAAAGACTACACTATTTTTTGTTAATACCAGTAACGAGAAAATGATTGGTTACCTTCTGTCTTATATCATTTTCAACAAGCCGTTTGTTTTCACGTGACTTCTTGGCGGCCATGTTGTTCCTTTTCCTCTTTTCCCAGTACTTGTCGTCCTTCTCGGTGTCGGGGATAACCCTTTTGGCCCGCCTCGACGAGTTCTTCGAGCTCATGCCCCCTTGACTGTCCTCGGTCAGCCATTGGTCAGTATCGGACGACATAAATGAAGGCTGCCGATGTGGAGGAACAGGTTTTTTCTCTAGTTGCTGTTGAAGGTGCTGTTGTGAAAAAGATTGGTGCTGTAGGCTCATCATATAAATAACAGAGTCTCCATCCCCTGAAACATGGTTGGTGGGAAATTAATCAGTGGGTGTAATGCATGACTTTTAACTGAAACGGGTTTGGGGGGGGGGAGTAATCAGTGGATGTAATGCATGACTTTTAACTGAAACGGGTTTAGGGGGGGGGGAGTAATCAGTGGATGTAATGCATGACTTTTAACTGAAACGAGTTTAGGG